GCACTTACATTAAGTAATTTTAAACACCTTGCTGACCAGTCACGACAGAGAAGCCGTGTGGGCGAGTTCTGGTTCAGAATAGCCGGCCAGCAAGGTGTTTCAATAAACATAATCACCTGGACCCGTGCTGTGAAATCTTTCCTCCTACTCCAAGTCAAGACCCATACACTACTGCCTGGCCCTAAGCAGGTCCCGTCTGGTAACAGGAGAATGATCCCTGGTCCCTATTCACTCTACTGCTTGAGCAGCCCCTGTGTCTGCTCGCCCCTGCCCCATCCGCTTCCCCACCGCACTCCCCTCCACCAAAGCCCAGGCAGGCTGACTACAGGCCCCTGTGCGTAACTGGTCCCACCGAGGATCCCGTGACGATCAGGTGTGACTCTTCTTAGAAAGAACACGTTTTGGGAACCAAAATGCAGTGTGAGTGCCCCTTGGCTGGCAGCTTAGCTGGGAGTGAGCCACTCCCAACCCAAGCAGCCTGGTTGGTCGTTGTACACCATAGGACCTCAGGGGCTCTGGACTTGCTGTCTAAGTGGGGCCCTCGAGGTGACCTGCCAACAGTGTTCTCCCCCGGCCCCAAGACTGGAGTACCCAGAGAGGAGGAAGGGGCCATGGCTGCAATGCCCACCGTGTAGCTTCTGGTGGAGCTGCTGCCTTCTGGAGGCACGGGTGGGTTCTCCCAAGACTTTCTGAATTGAGGGTTACCCACTAGTGCATTCAGGAGTCGTGTCCCATCAGTGTGCCAGGGACTGTCCGTGAATAAGCTGCTGCAGGGTCACTGCAGGAAAGGAGCCCAGGCAATGCATTGTGGGGTTCTTTGTAGCCTGCTTGGCTCCCAAGTGCCAGCCATCATTCCTTCTCTACATGGAGGTCTCCTAAGTATGGAGCACCCCACTCCTCTGCAGCAACCTGGCCCCCAGGTCTCCCCAGCCCTCCATACCAGCTGTTGTCACTCTTCTCTGGCTGGGAGTCCTGGTCCTGTGTCCATCGACCTGAAACACCACTGGTCACAGAAAAGGACATGTCTCGCTGCTGTCCTGGGACCACTGGGCAGTGGGGTGACCAAGGGTGAGTGGAAAGGGGGGGGCAAAAATGGGGAAAATTTGAGGGGATTTCTCAAGCTGTGCAACTTCCCCATCTGGTTGTTTTGGAAACCCAACCACTTCCCCAAAGGGACGGCCAGCCACAGCCACAGGAGTTCTGTTTGAGTTGCATTTTTGGACATATAATCGTTAACATGATAATACTAATGCATACCCGGGCCAGTTTTGCTCAGTGGTTAGTGTCAGCCCTCAGACTGAAGGGTCCCGGGTTCAATTTTGGCCAAGGGCACATACCTCGTCTGCAGGCTCAATCCCCAACCCTGGTCAGTGCATTATTGCGAGGCAATCAACCGATGTGTCTCTCTCACATCGATGTTCCTCTCTCTCTCCTTTCCACTCTCTGAAAAGCAGTGGAAAAAATATCCTCGGGTGAGCATTAAAAAAAATAATAATCATGCTTAACCTAGCAGGTGCTATGGCCAGGCACTGGGCCTGGCCTCCCAAGGACCTTCTAGAGCAGGACAGTGTTCAGAGAAGGCACCGAGGCATGAGTTCGGGCCAGTGTCATTAGCCAAGGTGACATAGCAGGCACCCTTCCTGTGTGCCCTTCTCTAAAGGGAACGTGTACACATGGGTGTCTGTAACCACAGTAACCCTCTGTCCACCCTGGACCTGAGACATCTGGCGGGAGAGCTGCTTCAGAGATGAGAAAATGGTGCGGCCTGGCCGGTGTGGCTCAGTTGGTTGAGCACCAGCCGGTGCACCAAGAGGTCTCCACGTCGATTCCCCGTCAGGGCACATGCCCAGGTTGTGGGCTAGATCCCCAGTGGGGAGCCTGCAGGAGGCAGCCGGTCATTGTTTCTCTCTCTAAGATCAGTAAAAACATGTTTTTTAAAAAAGAAAAAATGGCTGCACCCCCCTCTCCAGGCCCAAAGGCCACCCCAGGGATTCAGAGGCCTGGAGCTCACACCCAGCCCCGCCAGGGCTGACTAGCAATGACAAGGCCCATACTGGGAGGGGTACCTTAGTGCTTCCAGAAGGTTCCTAGAGGAGGTGTCACTTGGGTTGAATCCAGGCGCTGAGTCAGGCTGTGGTGGGGAGGGAAGGGCCAGCAGCAGGACAGAGGTGGGGGTGGGGGTGGACGCTAGTCAGGCCAGTTTGGGCTGGGCATAGCATAGGGGGTGGGTGCCTCCCTCAGAGGGGCTCAGGGGTCTGGAAAGGGGGAAAGTTGTCCCCCGCTCTGGCCAGGCAGTGACCTCTCCCTGCAGCCAGATCTGCAGACGACCTTATGAACCTAATTCCGTGTTTGTTTCTTGGAATTCTTAAACATGACTTCATATTCTTTAAGCTTCCCACACCCAAAACCCGGACCCACCCTTTTCCGAGAGTTGAATGATGGGGGACAGCAGGGTGGGTGGGGTGGCTGGTGGAAGAAGCAGGGAGCCTGAGCCATGGAGGTGTGGCACAGGATGGGGCTGCTGCCCAAAGCCAGACTCACGGGGGGCACCCTGGATTTTGGGTGCAGTCTGGGGAACTCCCTGGCTTTAGAGGGCAGGAACCGGGTGCCCAGGGTCTCAGATGGAGGGAGGGGAAGGGGTGCTTCTCTTTGGGGTCCTGCTCACAGCTCTGGGGACGTTGACCTGAGCTGTACCTGGCTGGGGTGAACGGGTGAACAGAGGCTGCCTGGCACCCAAGAGGGGAAGTGGCGAGGAACCTGGGCTGCAGGGGTGGCTCCCTGTGGAGGTGTCTCTGGCCACCCAGCCGTCCTCTTGTTTATCCTCGCTGGCCTCTGGCCCCTCCTGCTGGCCTCACCCAACCCTCCCCAGGGAGCCCATGTGTAGAATAGCCCCTTGCCCTCTCCTGTTCCGGCTGGTTTTAGGGGACACCAGCTAAGAGCCTGGCGCACAACTCAGTCAGGAACAAAACCTTCCCCTGGGCTGTACCCTTCTCACCAGGGTTCTAGGGAGGGGCACCAGGTAGAGAGCGCCCAGGTGGGAGCCCCTTGGGGTGGGCGTGGGGGGCCCCCAAAGGCCAAGCGCTAAGTGCGGTCCTCCTCTAGCACCTTGGACACATGGGACTCACTGAATTCTCACAAGGCCTCTAGGAAGGTGTTTTATTTTGTGGTTTTTAAAATGTTTTTATTGATTTCAGAGAGAGGAAGGGAGGAAGACAGAGAAACATCAATGATGAGTCACTGATCCTGGCCTCCTGCCCCCCGGGGATCGAGCCCCAACCCGGGCACGTGCCCTCACGGGGAATCCATTGGTGATCTGCAGGCTCATAGGCCGCTGCTCCACCGCTGAGCCCGCCAAAGGGGGCGCGCGGCGCCGGGGGGCACCCAGAATCCGAGAAGGCACAAAGAAGACAAGTAACTTGCCCAAAATCACACAGTGAGGACACGAAGGGGCAGGGTTTGGTTCTGGGACGGACTTAGCAGGACCCAAAAAGGGGGGGCTGGTGATAG